ACGCCCACTTCTGAACTGCAAATGCTCCTGGCTGTTACCCTGTGTTTCCATTGGGGATGTGCTTCCCTTTGCAGGGCCAGTCTATCGGGATCAAAGCCAGCGCTCTCACCATGCTACTCCTCTTACCGTCCTCTGCCCCCCAGCTCCAACGTAGTTGAATATCCAATAATATTCTGATAATTTTCTTGATTCTGGAGAGGGCCTCATGCTCAAATACACCTTCTCTATGCTCCGAATTCTTCACAGAAGAATTATAACCCATAGAAAAAACTTTCCTGGTCCCAGTCATGTTTACATTTGGGGAGGGTCATATTACTAGTGCTTATCAGTGGAATGTGAGCAGATGGGGGCCACTTTGAGCCTGGGCCTTAAAACACTAGACATGCATTCTTCCACATTCCTTCTTTCTCTTCTTGAGAGCTGAGATACTGAGGTGCCCAGGATCCAGCTTTGATCAAGCAGTAAGGACAACACGCCCTAGAGGCTTGTGACTCAGAATGTGTACCACAGACCAGTAGTCTGGCATCACATGGAAGCTTGTTAAAAATGCAGAATCTCAGGTCCATTTTAGCAATATCACCAGGTGGTTTATATGTACACTGAAATCTGATGAACCAACAACATGAAGAAATCTTGGTTCCCTGAGTGATCATGTGGAGCCTGGTTTCCCTGATAGCAGGTTCTCCTATGTCAGAACTGGAGAGAGAGAGAGAAGCATCCCTGGTAAGGCACTTTAATTTGGGTTCTCCTTATTACAATGGAAAAACCCCGGTGTTGCATAAAACAATGATGTCATCCTGATTTAAGGATGAGGAAATTGGGAGTTGGAAAATGTTTCACAAGGTTTGTGTCAGGAAATAGAATTACACTCAAATGGTTTAAATGAAGGGATTTTCATAAAGGGATAGGCGAGCAGGGTTCAGGAGAGAGGGCTAGTGTAGAGCTCTTTTTCAAGAAGCCTGGCAGTCAATAGAGGAAGCCACCTGCTGCTACAAAAACCTGGCCAAGAACTTTGATACATTCATGAACTGAGGATAGGAGCCAGCGAAATGAAAGAAGTCTAAGTTAAAGCAAGAGTTGCTTACTGGGATCCTTAAGGAGATAGGAGAAAGTGAAATGAAGGTGAGGCCTGTGGGGAGGTGGGTGTTAACTTCGTTGAGAAGGCAGGAAAAGAGGTAAAGGCGTGTGAGGATTGGTCAGTCTGTGAGATGTGAGCGCTAGGCTTGAGAGCTCTCGTGTCTTCTCTGGGACGTAAAAGACAAGGTCTTATTTTGAGAGAGAAGGGAAGGGAGAATTTCTAGCACAAATCGAGATCTTGAATGAATCAGATGAGCAAAGGTGGTGGTGAATAGGTATCAGGAAGAGCTACAGGTAGCTTGCAAAATCTCTATTTGGTTTCTGAATACAAGGTAGTCAAATTGGAGACCCATTCTGGTTTGGTAGAAAGTTCGTAGTTTCTGATGGTGGAATTTCTTACATTAAATACTGATTAGCAGAGGGTTTTCTCAGAAGAAAATCTGTACACGGCATCATACCCTAAACTACCATGTGACATTTGAACCATTAATATTTCAATGTCATTTCTTTGCCCTTCAACAGAAGTTTATGGGGCAGGCAGTGTGTCCCCGTGGCTGCTGGGGGTGGAGGAGCCCACATTCCATAGTGCAGCCCAATGCAGCTTCACTCAACCCCGGCCTTGTTCAGAAATCACATGGGGGTGACTTCCTTGGAAAGTGTGATAACCAGAGTTGACTGACAACGACTCTGCATATTATGTGCCAGACGGCCTGGGAAGAGGGGAACTTACCTCAGGGGACTCAAGTTGCTTGCCACCTGCCCAGCAGACTTTAGTCAGAGATGCCAAGGTCCCTGGGATGTTGCAGTTTTAGAATCATATCCACGTTAGCCGACTTTGCTGGCCAAACCATCAGGCCAGCTGGTGGCTTCTGTTTGGCGGCTGTTTTAAGAAAGGGATTTCTTTTATGGAAACAATGGATTTTTTCATCCATGTTTGAGTGGATTTGGGGGTCTTTCTTCCAATGCTGAATTATTTGTCCAATAAAAAATGAACAAGGACACATAATTCTCAATCTCTCTGTAACTTCTGACTCTACAAAATTTACAGTTTTAAAAGGTCTTTTCTGTTTCCTGGTTGTATGTAACCATTTCTGAAGAATTCTTTTTATGTTGGAATATTATGTTGCATGATTTTAGAAGTGTAACTTAATATTTTCCAAAGGT